ACACTATAATTTATGCGCACCCATGGATGTTGACAAAAAGAGGGAATGACAAAAGAGTGATATTGTGCGCAGAAATTATGGTGTATACAGTATTTTCAACCCGATGACTCCTCATTCTGCGCTGCACTTCATCGTCTACGGGAAAACTCAATGCCATTGAATGGCCATAAATGTCAGACGGGTTGCCGTGGTTCAGATAACCCGATTGGGGAATTTGATTTCCCAGCCCCAATTCGGGTATGGAGTTGACCCCGGCTAAGGTGGCCCAGTCAAAACCCCCGGAGCTCAAATGTTGGATACTTGACTTGTCGTCTTGTTGAAGATTAAGATTCTTTAACGAGCTGATTCTGGGCAAGGTAAAGTACTGGTCGTTAATTTCCGGCAAAGATTCCAGCAGGTCGTTGAACTGAGATGAAGACGACCACGAGGAGCTGTGGCTGTAATCTTTGCTCTTAACACCAGAAACAAGCTTCTGAACCGTGCCGCACTACAAGAATTCTTCTTGTAAATCCGACATATCACCCATTCATCAAGCTGTATCAAAACAACAAGACCATTAGACTAAGTTTTCGATGAAACTAATGTTTGAAGTTTTTTTTTTGAAAAAACACACAAACACGTATATATACATACCCTTGCACTTCTGGTCTTCCTGGGTTCTTCACAAAGCCTATATTCATGCATAATCTAATTAGTCTTTGTTCCTTTTGGTGCTCTACCCACGTAGAAAACAAGGGCTTTCTTGATCCCAACTTTCTGTCCTTCGGTGGTTATTATATTGTCGTTCCGGTGGCTTTCTAGTAGCCGGAACCGGAGACTCTATTCGGCCTCGATCCATTCGGATATTTCCGATCTCGTGGGCTGAAAAAATACCATTATTTTTCTCCAAAATTCGCCCAGCCTGCAAATCATCAATCCAAATTAATCACATTTGTTAATATTGCGTAACCAGAAAGAAACGACCAAGAAAGCAAAATCAAGTCATCAATGTGGCGTGAGGAAGTCGATGGAAGAAAGTGATAAAATGATGATTTTACCCTCATTATTAACAGTCAACCATGGTTGCAGTAGGCGCTGGGCGCTAGTCGGGCGTCCGGGCAGCGCCTAGCGCCTAAGCGGCCTAGTCGGCGCCTAGGCGGAATCTAGGCGGCGCTAGGCGGTCGCGAAAAAAACAGTAGCAGACTTGCAATTTGACAATTTTAATGAGGCTGTTTTCAACATTCAATCAAATAACACATCCAAATAAATGACATAATGACAATTCATAAGTCATAACATCAAAAGAATATTAAAAAAAAATAAAAACTCAAATGAAATACCCAAATACTTCAATCATCCAAAGATTGAAAGTATCAAACTAGTCTACAAGTGTATATATGTCATATTATATGTATTTGTCATATAAATGGAAAAAATTAGCAAGGTCGAGTTGGTCGGGTTAACTTGACTAACTCGACAGAAATTGACGAGTTAACTCGGCGTAATCGGACGAGTTAGGCGCTAGGCGGCTGAATTAGGCGCTAGGCGGGCGCCTAGGCGGCCGGTCTCCTAAGCGGGAGCCTAGGGCGGAAATCGCCACGGCCTATGGGCGCCCAGTGCCTAGGCGCCGATTACTCGGTGCCTAGGCGGGATTTTTACAACCCTGCAGTCAACTAACAGATAAATTAACGGAGGACTAAATTAGGTAAATATTGCGTAGTTGAGACTAAATTGAGTAAGAATGATAGTCGAGGACCAAATTGGTAATTACCACATAGTTGAGGGACCATTTTGGTTATTAACTCTTTATTAAGCTATATTAGGGCAAATTATATCATGCACCACGGTGCATGATCAATCATGCACCGCGCGTCTTTTTTTTTTTTAAATGAAAAAAAACAGTGTTTGTTTTCCGCCGTTTCGCACCCTTTTGCAAAAAGTAACCCTGTTCTTTAGTGTCATTTTGTACACACTGCAGTTTCAGTTCAACACAACTACAGTTTCATTTCGATATAACTATAGTTTCATTCGATATTTATAGACTCAAATATGTGAAAATGTGATTTTATTTTATTTTATTATACACTATAGTTTCATTAAAACACAACTACATGATCATTTTGATATAATTACAGCTTCATTGTACAATATACACTCAAATATGTGAAATGTTATTCAGTTTCATTTTATATACACTGCAGTTTCATTTCACTATAACTACAGTATCATTTTGATATAACTGCAGTGTCGGTTTAAATACATTGTAGTGTCAGTTGGTGTTTAATACACCAAACAAGCGGACTCCTTTAACTATAACGGTGGGCTGTTTCTTTACTTAAAGAAACGGCGCCATTTTTTACCGCGGTGCACATGCACCGCGATCTATGATATAACGACCCCTATATTAGAGCAACATTATCAATTGGGGATATTTGGGGGAAAATGTAAGAGTGATTAGGAAAAAGAATGTGAGAGAATGATGAGAATAAAAAGAAAAAAAAAAAAACAAAAAGAATGCTGCAAACTGACAGAAACATAATGTTTCTCTCTCCACCCCTCTCTCATCCATGCTATTACTGTTGCTCCTTTTTATTCAGCTTTTGGTATTTTAGTTGATGACATTAAAAAATCTACATCTATGTTAAATAATGTAGTATTCCACTTTGTAAAGCGATCTGCGAATCGTGCCGCCCACCTTGTTGCTAGGGAAGCCGTTTCTGTGACAGGTTGCGGGGAATGGATCGATATCCCGCCCCCTTTTCTTGTTGCTTGTTTATCTGTTGATGCAATGAATTAAGTTCTTTCCCTAAAAAAAAAAAAAGAAATAACTCTTCACTTGCAGGAAGAGCAAAATGTTTCTCTCTCCACCCATCTCTCCTCCATGTTGGCACTTTTAACCTTAAAAACTGTGAAATATGCACTGATTTAGATGCTCTTAGAGCATTAATATGAGTTGGAGTTTTTTTCCAAGTTTTTTTGTAGGTCTCATCATCCACTATCTCACTCAATCACAAAAACTCTTATCCACACTAGTTTGAAATTTTTTCTCAGTTTTTTGTGGACACACCATTTTATTATACTATATTTTAATATTTTTATTTATTTTAATTATAATAATAAAAATTAACGAAAATAAACATACCCACATTTAATTAAAATGATACGAAATAATTACAAATATTTAAATTAATTTTCAATGTTGTACTATTTATTTTAATCATTTTAAATTTTAATTGTAATAAAATCATTCAAAAGTTAATTAAAAAAAATATATTAAATTTGGTATTTTATAAAAAAATTAAAACAGAAATAATAAAACAATAAATACCAAACAAATTAAATGTAAAAAAAAAATCATGTAAAGATTGAGTTTCACAGTTCACATTTCAATTTTTCTGTAAAAGTTATCGCAACATCGATCGAAAGAAAGCAAATAAAGAAAAAAAAAAAAACAAAATAAAGATTGAGAGCTGGCGGCCACTCTCAATCGTCCAGGCTTCTCACTGCCTTCTTTTTTTCTTTTTTTTTTTTAATTTAAAATTTTCTGACATTATCCTCTTCTTTACAGGCTAATTATTTATCAAATGACTCACACGCACATCACTTATAAACTTGAGAATGAGATATTCACTATACCAAAAATTTAAAATTATTTACTTGTGTGGACTGTGGATGCTCTTAGTTCCCCTCATTAATCTATTCACATTATTACTTCCTCTATTCTAAAAACGCACAGTTGCAGAAAAAACATATAATTACCTTCTTTAAAAGATACGGAGTAAAAATCAATCTGGGGTGGTGGCGCAGTTGGCTAGTGCGTAGGTCTTATAACTTTTGAGTTATCCTGAGTTCGAACCTCTCTCACCCCATAAGATACTGCTATTTTCGCCGTGGACAGTGCAAAATAAAAGCATTAAAAACGTTTCCGTTGCCGGGAATCGAACCCGGGTCTCTCGGGTGAGAGCCGAGTATCCTAACCAACTAGACTACAACGGATTTGTTTTTCATTTTGTCATCTTATTTATATATAATATACTATAAACGTAAGATAAAAGTTGAAACTACAGTTTTATCACACAAATGCTGTGATTACAAAACTGCTCCTTCTTATCAGGCCAATAAATCAGTAAATATAGCACCTGAACAAAAATTGTGTGATCATCCGTTCATATAACAGATTACCTGTATATTACACTCTTATATATAATATATACCCCCACACAACCCCAACCAGACAGCATGAGAACATGGCAACTTGAGGCTAAAGGGAGGGTGATAGGGTTTGGCAGATTGCATTTGGGAGTAAATTTAAATGCAATAGTGCAGTTTGGAAGTGAATTTCATCCAAAGCCATATAATGCATGGTCTGACAGGATTGATAGGTACCCTGTGGAGGTTCCAAGGATTTTGGATCATTAAGCATTTAAGCCTCAACCTTTAACTTATCCCTCTCACAATTTCATGTGCAATGATGCAAATAATAAATTAAACACCACAAACCATACCTCATTGTTAGTACCATACTAAGGTTTAATAAAATCACAAACTTAGGATACAATGTTCATAATGGGCTTTGCCTATGATAATTGTACTACTTTAGCTATTGATTAGCTGCGCTGCTGTCTTGGAGAGAGATGTTTGGGTGTTGCAGCCGTTCAATTGAACGAGTGTATGGTCCAAACCAGTGGAAAGCCCTCAGAACAAAGCTTGAAACATGGAAGGTAAATAATCTTTTATTTAATTTCATGTGTGCCATAACCTGATAATTTGATAATGCCATTGGTTCACCATTCTGTATCTATTTGCTTTGCTATTGAGGTTTTAGTCCATTCCCTGCAAGATGAGTTTATTTGAGTGTGAGCATTGATTTTAGTGTTACAATCCATCCTCAATATAATGTTCATTGTTAGGGTTAGTTTGGTTCATGTTATGTGCTCAAGAATGTTACATTACCTTACCTACAAGATAATGTTTTTTTGCCCTTGTTTGGTTTTTTTTTTGAAAACCAGAAAGCTCATATATTAATCATGCAAACCAGAGAAGTCCACACTAACAGAGGAGGAAACGAAATGGGGAATGAAATCAAAATACTCAAGCACCCCTTCCCCCGAAAAAGATAAAGCATATTTCGCTAGAGTATGAGCCGGAACATTCGCCGCCCGCTTTACAAACACAAAACGAACCAACGGAAGATGCTCCAAGTGCTCGCGAATTTCATCAATAATGGCCCCAAACGGAGTGTAATTCTGACCCACGATCACAGCACTAGTCACCACCTTCGCATCTGTCTCAAGCACGATCCGAGACCATCCATTCTTCTTTATCCAACTCAACGCTTCACGAGCCCCAATGGCTTCAGCTTCCTTAACAGAATAGATGCCCTCGATCGTAGATAGCGCAGTTCCCTTCACCACACCTTCACTATCTCTAACAATCCAGCCATATCCCATAAGGTGGTGATCAAAGTCCATAGCCACATCAATTTTGATTTTATAATATCCTGGAGGGGGAGGACACCACTTAGCAGTCTGCATAGGTATAACAGAACCATGCGCCCCAGCTGCATTCTGGCTATTTGCCTTTTTCCATTCATGAACATAACTCAAGGCCATACGCACCATGGTTCTAGAATCCATGCATTTGGTTTTTAGGAAGTTAATGTGAGATTCTTGGGGATGCGGTAACATGAGCGAAATACGCTATTAATATTGTGATGTTTTCAAATGCCATGGTTCTAGAATCCATGCATTTGGTTTTTAGGAAGTTAATGTGAGATTCTTGGGGATGTGGTAACATGAGCGAAATACGCTATTAATGTTGTGATGTTTTCAAATGCCATGCGTTAACAAAATATCTTTTGCAGGGTAATATTGTCTAGCACTATTCAAGCGAACAAAGTAGTCGAAGATGGTTTACAAGCAATGCTATGTAGTACAAACTTGATAGAATTTGAGACACTACTGCCTGCCCATATACTGCAATCTCTGGTTTTAGTCAGACAATATGAGTAATCTGAATGTTCATGCAAGAGTTTTGCTTATGTTTCTCAGAAAGTTTTAACAAGATTATACCTCACTCTTCCAACTCTGCAATTTCATTACTTTTTATATCAAATGACAATTGGTTTATACGAGTGGTGGTGCTTTTTACTTCAGATGTGAACATGTTCTCAACCTTTTAAGTGAAAAATGATTAATGTAAGGTTCCTACTAAACTTCTCTGAAGACATTAATGAACATTGACTTTGCGCAGAAAGATGTCCCACACTCCCACTAATTATTTAAGTTAAGATCAAATGTATTTCCACAATCTTCGCCACAAAAATTAAGAAATAAAAAACAGGTGTAAAATTTTATTTTATTTTGAAAGGATGTGTAAAATTATTTAGTACAAAGACTTTGGCAAATAAAAAGGCAACCGGCAGGCCGACGAAATAGACATTGCAGCCTTGCAGTTATCATGTCTTCAACCATTTCCATGGTAATATGGTATCGGTATACTTCAGTCCTGACTCCTGAACCCAATAAAATATATCACAACAACTAAATTGACATTATTATTATTAAAAGAAGAAAAAAAGAAACTAAAGGGAACCTTATTTCTAATAGTCTTCTAGTCTAGAAGATGATATTTGCAAAGAAAAATGTTTCATTTGTTAATAAGAGCTACTAACACGGCATTTACTATTCTAATATTTAATTCAAGACAAGGCAACTAAAGGAACAAGTCCAAGTCAACTAGAAAATAGAGATTGCAGTGCTAGGAAGTTTACCTGGGGATCACCATTTCTCCACCAAGGCTCATTTTTATGCTCAGAACTTGAATCAGTTGGAAAGCATAACCCAATACCTCAACAGCAACAATATGCATCATCCTCTGTTTTTTATTCTTATATCCTGTACGTTATTCCATGGTCTGATCATCTTTGCCATTTCTTCTACCATTAATTCACCTATTGAGAACATAGCCATTTCATGTGGCTCTTCTGGCACTCCAACTGCCCTTGATGGGCGTGAGTGGGTTGGGGATAATACTTTGTCTTCTACTTCACCACTGCACATAAGTGGAAAATCCTGGACATCTAAAGCCCAGCATAAAGCCTCTCTCATGATTGATCCACTTCCATATCAGACAGCTCGGACCTCTCGCCATGAGTTCAGCTACCGGTTCTCGGTCCAGCCGGGCCAGAAATTCATCCGCTTGCACTTCAACCCAGCGCCATACAATGGCTTCAAGAAGTCCATAGCCCTTTTTACTGTCAAAGCTGGTCCATACACTCTCCTCAGCAATTTCAGCCCCTCCCTCACTGCTGATGCTCTAGGTGTCAAATTTCTCAAGAAGGAATACTGTGTTAATGTACAGGAAAGTGAGGTGTTGACTATAACATTCACCCCATCTCAAGAAAGAAAGTTTTCAGGAAATGTTTATGCTTTCGTCAATGGCATTGAGATCATCTCCATGCCTACTGGTCTTTACTTCACCCCAGAGGGAGACCTGGGTGCCCATGTTGTAGGCCAAAAGCACAGATTCTACATTGATACAGCTACAGCACTGCAGATGATTCAGAGATTAAACATCGGGGGATGGTCAATCCCATCCATTGAAGATGTCAGCATGTTTCGTGACTGGAAAGATGACTACAACTACGTGTTAAATGGAGTTGGTGCTGCATCAACTTATACAACCATGACAATAGAGTATGCAGACATGCTGACACATGTTGCACCTCCCAAAGTGTACCAAACAGCAAGGTCAGTGCATCCAGGCAAGCAGCAGCTCATTGCTCACAATCTCACATGGATAATTCCAGTAAATTTAGGATTCAGGTACCTAGTCAGGCTCCATTTCTGTGAATTTGAACCTGAAATATCAGCAAGAGGTGAAAGGCAATTCAGCATACTTATAAATAATCAGATAGCTGAGTATAATGCTGATGTGATCAAATGGAGCGGTGCACGTGGGGTTGCAGTGTACAAAGACTACATTGCAATGATGGAAGGAGATAGAATGAAAGGTACAGGCACTCTAGTCATAAGTTTGCAGCCCAACTCTGACTTCAGCCCTAAAAGAACTGACGGCATTCTGAATGGCTTAGAAATATTCAAGCTAAGTAATCCTGACAACTATCTTGTGGGAATGAATCCTGCCCCCCAACGCAAAAAAAGTTCAGTGTCAGAGATGCCGAGTCGCCAAAGGCCAGTGTTTTTTGATAGAAAGAGTGCAATTGTTACTGCATTCACAGTAGCAGTCACTTTACTGAATATTGCCATCTATTACCTAAGGTGTCTCTCAGAAGCTAACTCCAACATGAGAAACACAAGATCTCGTTCCACAGACCCAGCTTGTCGTCAATTCTCACTTGAGGAGATCCAACTATCCACCAACAATTTTAGTCCTAAGTTCCTCATTGGAAGTGGTGGATATGGTAAAGTATACAAGGGCATTATTGATGGCGGAGCAACTACTGTAGCAATTAAGCGTTTGAAGGAAGAATCTAGGCAGGGAGAGAATGAGTTTTGGACAGAGATCAAAATGCTATCAAAGGTCCGAAATGAACACCTTGTCTCCCTAATTGGCTTTTGCAATGAAGGTACGGAGATGGTGTTGGTTTATGAGTACATGCCACGAGGAACTGTTGCAGACCATCTCCACAAAATTGATAGAATGGGGAACGGTAACCCCCCTCTCTCTTGGGAAAGACGACTCAAGATTTCAATAGGTGCTGCCCGGGGATTACATTTCCTTCACACCTCCCAGCATAAGGTTATACACCGTGACGTAAAAAGCTCAAACATTCTGCTGGATGAGAGTTGGGTGGCAAAGATTTCAGATTTTGGTTTGTCCAAAATGGGGCCTGGAAATGAGTCCTTCACTCATGTTAGTACTGATGTCAAAGGAACATTTGGCTACTTGGATCCTGAATACTTTTTAACTCACAGATTGACAACAAAATCTGACGTTTATGCTTTTGGAGTAGTGCTGCTTGAAGTGGTCACCGGGAGGCCAGCATTGGATAAGAGGCTTGTTGAGGAGCAGCACAGTCTAGCTACATGGGCGATAGACTACATGAGAAAAGGAAAAGTAAATGATATTGTAGACAGCAGTCTGGCAGGGCAAGTCTCCCGAACTTGTTTGAAGGTGTTTGCAGAAATTGCAGGAAGATGCTTGCGCAAACAGCCACATGAACGACCAGATATGGCTGATGTGCTCACCAACCTTGAATTAGTGTTGGCATTACTACAAAAGGAGGGGGTAGAAGATGAGGTCATGAGTATTGGGAGTGTTCACAGTGATGGTGTCATCTCGTTTGATGAGCACTGTGGAGATATCTTAGGAGAGAATATGGAAAATCCCACCACTGAAGCAACATCTTATGAAGGAAAAGGCAAATATATTTCCATTGGAAAGGTGAAGGACAGCATTTTCAAACCAAATGCATCAACTCGATGGTGGGATTTTTCGTGGTTACTGCCAAAACAATCACCAAAGAGAAAAACTTCACCAACACAACCAAGAATCCCAAAACAGTCATCGAAGAAAAAAGTTTCCTCTATGCAGTTGCAAGGAGGACTCCATCGCTTCTCTACCCATGAAATCCTACAGGCAACTGACAATTTCAACCAGAGTTTTATTATTGGTTTTGGGGAAGCTGATGAGGTGTACATCGGATTTCTAAATGGTCGTGAAAATATTGTAGCCATCAGAAGGGCCAGCACTGCTTATTCAAAACGTTGCATGTCTCATGAGTTGCAATCAAAACTAGATAACCTCCCTTTGCCCAACCATGCTAATGTTGTCTCTCTAATTGGATATTGCAATCTTTATGCAGAAATGATTCTTGTATACAGTTACATGGCAAATGGGAGTCTGCAAGATCATCTCCATGACCCTGACAAGGCTCCCCTCCCATGGATGCAGAGGCTTAAAATCTGCATTGGTGCTGGACACGGTTTGTGCTACCTTCAGCCTATCTTGAAGCAGAGTATTCTCCATCGTGAATTCAACTCAACCAACATTCTACTGGATGAAATTTGGGTTGCTAAAGTTTCAGACTTTGGTTGGTCTAAAAATAAAGGCAACAATCGTGTTCCTAGAGCTGTCGTGGGTCCTTGGGGATCTTTGGATTCAGACTATGTACGCGATACAACATCAACAGAAAAATCTTATGCATATGCATTTGGTTTACTTCTAATCGAAGTATTATGTGCCAATAATGAATTGATACTCTGGGACCAGGATAGGGAGAGTATAGCCAGCTTGTTCAAGTCATGTATAGAAGTTGGCCTTTCAAGATGTATAGACCCATACCTCGTTGGGAAAATATCACCAGACTGCCTTCGGATGTTTGTTGATACTGCAAGCAGCTGTCTGCAAGACCAAGGTAGTAAAAGACCATCACTGAGTGAGATCGTGAAAAGTCTGAAGGCTGCACTTGAGCTGCAAGAAGCAGCAGATAGTAATAACAAAGGGGTTTTAGGCTCGCTGAAGTAGACCCGAAAAGGTAAATAAAACCCTTGTCATTGTACTGAAATTGCTCTAGAATATGAATGCCATATGATATCAGAATCCAAGAGTGAAATGGAAATGCATCTTTCAGAAACAAAACTTCTTTTGTTCCATCTAACCTGCAAATTGTAGCTGAACATGCTTGTTGGGTTCCTTACATTCTATACTAGTCATGCTAGCTTTCACAAAAGCAAGTTCACACTCTCTTTCCTCTTAATCCTCTGCTTCCTATAATCCTATGATTTTTTGTCTTTTGGCATTTTAAATCCCAAACATTTGTAGTCAATAACTGGAATGTTACCATGAACATAAACTCCAATTGCTTGCACAATTTGTGTGTGCAGAACAAATACACAGCCGCTTAGCGTAAACTACTTGAAATAAACATAAGCTAAGCAAATCGAATGGGGAATCGAAGAACCTCGCAAGTGCTCGCTATGCGTACCTGTCAACAGTAAAAACCTCGTGACAGATCCGACGCATCGAGTGCATACACTTCAACCAGAAAATGGTCGCCCTAAGAGGTCCTTCAAGTTAGGGCTGAACGATACAGACGGCGCTCATGTTCATCGGTCAACCATACACTTCATACTTGCGGCATTATCCTTGTAAAATATTTAAACAAATCCTTGATTGAAGAGAAAACATGAAGAACAAAAAAACAAATTGAGAAGAGAAGCATTATAGGCTTAAGTACCCGACTGCCAGGAATCTCGTTCCCCTGATAATAATAATAATAGTAATAAGGGACAAATATGGAGATAGCTGAATGTGTAATCGCCGCTAACCTCCGCATCATTAATGCTTCTTCTTTCGTCGCCGATTGCATGGAAGTGGACAGCGGCGAAGAATCCGACGGGCTTAAGCTATCCTCATCCCTAAAATTTTACTTACATGGCATAAGTCATATCATTATTGCTAAATATCTTGTAGCATGATATTACCATCAAAGATATTGATTACATGACATAAGTCATATCATTATTGCTAAATATCTTGTAGCATGATATTACCATCAAAGATATTGATTACATGACATAAGTCATATCATTATTGCTAAATATCTTGTAGCATGATGTTACCATCAAAGATATTGACATAATCAGTTGAGCAGAACTATACATAAATTAAATTGTAGTTAAAAAAAAAAAAATCAAAAATCAAATCATGTTATAAATATTATACTTAATATGAACATTATTATATAGTAGTATTGTAACATTTGTAACGATTATGTAATTATCTCTCATTATTGCTTCTGTTAATTACCTTAATGTATATATACTCCATACTTGTTGTATAGAATGAAGATGATGGATAAAAATGATTCTCCTTTCTCCATTCTATGATATTACATTTTAACAAATCACTATTTATTAATTAATTTTTTTTAAGTATGAGGTGTCTTGCAAGATTTGCAAGTCTTAGAAAGTGTGACAAAAAAGTACAATGTCTTGAATAAGCGATATGGTTTTTATCATTTTTTAAAGAATTTAAATAATAATAATTTTGATGAAATGTGACTTGAACTGTGAATTCACTTTTAAAAGCATGTTGACAATGCAAAGATGTAAAAAGAAAAATAGTAAACAAATTATAAATCTTATGATGCGGAAGTAGGACTTACTTTTGAAAGTGAAAAAGTATTACAACATTAAATTAAAGAGATAAGGGCTAAAAGACGAGGGAGAGAGAATGTATAACTACATCGTGTGTTGGCAAAAAGAGGTGCCGGTGGTCGAGCGTTTGGATGACAAGACGGTCCTAATTTTATTAATCGAATCTCTGCGCGTTGAATGTCAATATAGTAAGCTGTGAGATGAAAACCCTCAAACTTATGCCCAAGCCATCCAGCGGGCCAATCAGCTCGTCGACCCTAAGGAGGCAGTCAAGTATAAAAGGCAACAAGAAGGGTCGTTGCAGACTTGACGATCCCGACCAGACGACTCTTGCGGTAACTGACCAGAAGCAGCCATCTGGCATGATGATAGTCAGAGACATAGAGGGTATAGTGGTGAACCACCGGCCGGCCTAGGTCATCGAGTTGGTCCGATTTCCGGTGGACTGTTTGGTCGTTGGGTGTTGGGAGTAAAGGAGCGGAGGATGAGGGTCGGGGTGAGTTGATAGTGACGCCTTGCCGGAATGAGGAAAAGGAAGAAGTGGTACGAGAATAAGACATTAGAGGGAAATGGCGCTAAGATGAATTAACACGGAGGGAGCTGGCCGGAAAAGCAGCTAGAAAGTGAGAGGAAGGCCGAAAATTGGGGGCGGACTGGAAAGCTAGGGCGACGGTCGCCAGACGGGAAAGTAGAGAGAAATTTGAGTGCTGGAAGAGAAGGAGTTGAAAGTGAAAAGAACAGTCGTGTAGAAGTAAAAGGGGTATTTATAGGGGAGGGAGGCCGCCTAGATGACGACACGTAGCAGGCATCCAGCTGGCAGGCAAATGTGGCGGCTGACGCGACGGTTACTTTAGGTTTGGGAATGGTAAAAAAAATGAAATTCTAACTAGTGCTGTCAATACGGGCTGGCGGGGCGGGGCGGGCCAAAAAAGCCCGCTCCTTAGCGGGCCTGGGTTTTGTTGGCCCGGACCGCCCCGCCTTTGGCCCGCGGGCTAGGCGGGCCCCCGCCTCAAAACCATTTTTTTTTTAATTATTAACTTATTGGTTATTGTTTTGTTTTGCTAAATTTATCCAACTGGTATTCTGGAATTTAACGTAAAAAAAATTAACATAATCTACTCAATTCATTATTCACACACAGAAATGATAGAATCCACTCAATTCATTAAACTTTCGCATAGCAACACACAATTTAACATAAATGCAGAATGCAAAATGAATCAAACAAAATTGAAGTTGGAGTCTTGGAGAGTGGGACTAGGATTTGTTGTGGACTTGTGGGTTGTGGCGTCTGAACTCTCTATTCTATAATAATATCTAAAGTAATAAAGTGTAAATATTATATATAATATATAAAAATAAAATAAAATAAAAAAACAGGCGGGCTAGCCCGCGGCCCGCCAAGCCCGCGGGCCTAAACGGGGCGGGCCAAAAAAGCCCGCTCTTTAGCGGGCTTCTATTTTTGAAACCCGCCCCCTACCTAAGTAGGGGCGGGGCGGGGCGGGCCGGCGGGCTAAGCCCGTTTTGACGGCTCTAATTCTAACCGGCGAAAAATTGAATACGCTTCATTTAATGGCCACATCCTCGAGCAACCGGTCGGGAAGCCAGTGAGTCGAAATGACAAGGAGTCGTCACGACTGCGGAGACGGACCGACTGTCGGCGGACATATTCCTTAGCTACACTGCAAGATTGACAGACGCTTGAAAGTCTCAACCTGCAAGTCAGCACTCAGGCTACTGGGTCCCCTGATCCGAAGAGGTTTACTTTCCTGAGTCGTCGCAATGCGAAATCTCGGAAAAATGAGAGACTAGTGATGGATACCCTCGAGTAGAGTATCCAGTCAGAATATGTCTCAGCACTTGGAGTTCGCAGTTTGACTGCGTTACTCAGAAGATAGGAGGGACTTAATAGCCAGACCCCTTGGCAGGGGGATGCACTTGTGTGGACCAGGCTGCCCGACAACTACAATGTCGTATGATGGCATCTCGTTACCATTCCAAATGGGTGGTTATAGGTTTGAACCCCGGTAGTGGGGACTTAGATTCTTTGGGCTTAAAATGTTTGAAAAAGTATAGAACATATATGACCTAGTAAATAATCATAAGCATTTCAAAAAAAAAAAAATGTAAACAAAGGCCCTACCCTTCTTTATTAAGCTACTAGTTTTTTACGCGCATTGCGCGATTGAGATAATGCCCAATGTTTTTTTTTTTTAATAAGTACTTTAAAGTATATCAAGACAAGATTATATTGGAATTGTTCATGCATAGATAATTGAATGTTGAATTTGCGTATTTAAATAGGTAATTCTAAGTTTACAAATGCAAGATAATATAGTCTTGCTTATAATTGTCAATAAAATAATTGTATAGGTATGGTTGAAACCAAATACGGGACATAAGGAGAGAAAATAAAAATTAGGGCATACAATATTAAATATATACTAATATTGAAGAGCTAACTGCTGATTGCCAAACAAGGACATTGCGAGGTAGTTTCCCACTTCAATTTGTTGTGTGATTTGAATACTCTTTTTGTCACTAAATCCCCCAAGTAGTTAATATGATTGATTTAATTATATTTTTTTTAACAATTATTATTATTATTATTATTATTATTATTATTATTATTACTAGTTTTTTACGCGCATTGCGCGATTGGGATAATGCCCAATGTTTTTTTTTTTTTTTAAATAAGTACTTTAAAGTATATTAAGGCAAGATTATATTTGAATTGTTCATACATAGATAATTGAATGTTAAATTTGCGTATTTAAATAGGCAATTCGATCTAAGTTTACAAGTGCAAGATAATATAGTCAAGATTGATTATAATTGTCAATAAAATAATTGTATATGTATGGTTGAAACCAAATACGGGACAAAAGGGAGAGCAAATAAAAATTATGGCATAAAATATTAAATATATACTAATAATGAAAAGCTAACTGTTGATTATAATTCCAAACAAGGACATTGCGAGATAGTTTCCCACTTCAATTTGTTGCGTGATTTGAATACTCTTTTTTTTGTCAATAAATCTCTCAAATAGTTAATATGATTGACTTAATTATATATATTTTTTTATTTTTTAAAACAATTATTATTATTATTATTATTATTATTATTATTATTATTATTATTATTATTATTATTAAATATATGTATACCCTTATGTCATTTTACATGTTAATCTAAACAACTAGTTTTTTCAAATATTTTTTTACCAATCGTTGATATAATTCGCTGGTCAAATTCGCTAATATAATCCGCTAACGCTAACCGCTAACTGCTGATTGTCAAGCAAGGACATTGCGAGATAGTTCTCACTTCAATTTATTGTGTGATTTTAATACTCTCTTTGTCAACAAATTCCTCAAGTAGTTAATATGATTGACTTTATTAATTTTTTTTAAAATTTTTTCATGGTATTAATAAAATACTTGGTAAATAAATGTATAGCATTATTTTGTATTATAACTTTGATATTTAATTAAAAAATAGTGCACAAAAAAAATAATAGACAATGTAGTGAATATAATCAATTGATGAATTTGAATGTAAAGAATTTTTACATTGGAGAAATATAAAGACAATATAATTAATAAAATTATTTTTCTTAATTAATTTATTGATAATGAATAATTTTCTTTTTATAAAGACATTATAGGGACAATGTAGCGAATATAATCAATTGATGAATTTGAATGTAAAGAATTTTTATATTGGAGAAAAATAGATACAATATAACTAATGAAATTATTTCTCTTATTTAATTATTAATAATGAATACTTTTTTTTTTTGACTAAAGACATTGTAGACACATAATTCTAAATTAAAGAAATGCATATGTATTATTTTTTGTTGTAGCTACTAAATTATTATTTAATTTATAAGAGTAAAATAGAGTATTAATTATGCCAACTTTGATTAGGATGTGATTTGAACCTAAGACCTTTCTTATTGAAATCAATGAGTAAATTAACGGTGAACTAACAGAAATTAACGGAAAAGATAATATTTAACGGAAAAGTTAACAGAAAATCATATTCATTAAGGATAAATTAGTAAATCTTAAGGAAAAATTAAAATCTAATCAATCTGAGCCATTCATTTGATTAAAAAATTTGACCGCCATTTTTTCTACCCATTATAAGCCTAACTCTCTTGGGCTCTTATTAGTATATAGTAGATTATTATTATTATTATTATTATTATTATTATTATTATTATTATTATTAAATATATGTATACCCTTAGGTCATTTTACATGTTAATCTAAACAACTGATTTTTTAAATATCTTTTTAC